ATATATATATATATATATATATATATATATATATATATATATATATATATATATATATATATATATATATATATATATATATATATATATATATATATATATATTTATTTATTTATTTATTAGTTATTGTGATATGATATGAAACATGTTATGGTACGAGATATGTGATAAATTGACATGTTTATGATATGATATAATGTGATGCGATATGTTATGGTATGATATGTATATGATGAAAATTGTTATGTCTAGAAGCATAAAATAGTATGATATGACATATTTATGTAATCTGAATGATATGATATGATTGAGATGCAAAACAATAAACTAGCATGAAATATAGCCCCAACGTATGTATGAAAGATATGATAAACGATATGAGATATGATATGTGCAGAACGCTAGGGTTGTATTAAAAAATAATGAAAATGGAAAAATATTGGGACCTCATGCATTATTGTGTGCTCATTGCATTAGGAGATACCCCTATTCCTTCACGATGGTACATACATGTACATAACTAGGCAAAAAAACGACCATTATGTTTTACATAATGCTGCCATGACGACTACTACTTCTAACGGGTGTCTGGCACAAAGAGCTACTAAAGCATGCTCGCCCGACAAGGAAAGGAGTCCAGTGGTGTGTGAATTGACTGGTGGGTTCACACTTGCACATGGGTCGTGTGTAGAGAATATGGTACACATTCAAGCTATCCGTTAGGAGAGTACCGTAGGAAAATAGACTGTTATGATAGATCTCATCATTGCATTTGCATGTTCTTGCATTTACCTCCTATAGTGAGGTCACCTCTTTACATACTTAAGTCACGTGCTACTTCTATTTTAGGTTAAAGCAAGACATTTCTGTACGGTTGACTTTATTTTATTACTTCTCATTTATTGATGAATGTATAATGAACTAAATAAATAGTCTTGAATTTTTTAGTTAGGCTAAAACTTCTATTTTTAAAAAATACAAATAAATATATACAAGCTTAATTAAACAAAATAAAAATAAAATAATTGAATAATAATAATTTAAAAAAAGTAAATTCATTTTTCAATAGCATTTATAACACCCATATTCTAGTTCATGTGGACTCCATAATGACTATCTCAACTTCTATTATTGTTGCAAATAATGCCCCTTTTAAATCACTTTGAATTTTAAAAGCTATTTACTTGTATAGCAATAACTCGGGATTCAATCCTATAGAAATCATTAATATTTTTCGATGATGCAAAAGCTGTTAAAATATCATAAATAATAATATCGAAATTATTAAATTGATTCATCGTCCATAACTGAGGCATCCTAACATACCGATAGACTTGAACCTTGTTCCTACATGACCCGATCAATTCAATTAGGCACTCGCCATCTATTTTCAGTCTTCGACTCTTTTAACAACATTAAAAAACCAAAAAAAGTTCTGCCCTCCCTCTTGATCTATCCAAGGGATGGAAGGGCAGAGGCCTTTGGTGTCCCCTTCAGTCAAGAATTGGAGCCTCACAATCACTAGCCAATATGCTTTTCTCTCATGCCTTTCTTCGTTCATGGTTCGATATTCTGGTGTCCTAGGCGTAGAGGAACCACACCAATCCATCCCGAACTTGGTGGTTAAACTCTACTGCGGTGACGATACTGTAGGGGAGGTCCTACGGAAAAATAGCTCGACCCAGGATGATAAAAAGCTTAACACCTCTCATTCTTATTACTTTTCAATATTCAATATGGAAAAAAAAAAAAAAAATGAAAAGGTCGTCTTATTCAAAACCCTTCTCTCCCACTTTTCTCTCTCACTTCACACCTTGGAACGCACCGTTCTTATAGAGAGAGAGGCGCTTTCACATCTTCTTAACCCGAAATGGCAAATGGCTGGGGAGAGAAAAGGTTCCTTTTTTTAGGGTACCCCCAAGAACAGATCCAATGGAGACGAGGTGGAGCGGGATACAATTAACCATTTTTTTTTTCGCTTTAATATATATAGTTACCTACTATCATTAGGGAACAAACTCACGTGGAGAATCTTTAAAGGATCTTCTCTATTTTATATTTTATATTTTCTTTTAAATTGATGAATTATTATTTTATTTTTTAAATGGAAAATTCAAATCTCTACCTCTTTATTTATTTTACTAAATAAAGAGTTCAAGAGAATATAATATAAAGTCGGAGTACTAAAATAATTTAAAAAATAATTTTCTAAATCACCTGGAAATAAAATTATTCTTCTTCAAAAATTTGAATAAAAGTGTTATAAACTATAGTCTAAACGCTCAATTCTTATAAATAAATATACTGTCTCAGATGAATCGTTATGTTCTTCAAAATTTAAATTTAAAAATATTAATACTTTAATCAGTTAAATATGTTCTTCTCAGATGAATCGTTATGTTCATTATCTTTGACAATGAAAGATTATACGTTTTAATATGTATCATAATACTCTTCTGCACTCGAGTGAAAAAATACATTTGTTTTTTAAAATAAAAATATTTATTAAATTTTTATACTAAATTAATTAACACCTTAAATATTAATGAATTAAAGTTGTAATTAATGTCCAATTTTGACCTCAATTTCATTGCAATGTAAAGCTAATATTAGTGTGATTAGTGGTTTAATCCCTTATCAATATTACTTAACCATCATTAAGCACATTAAGCTAAAAAGGGTTAGAAGTGCGCACCTTTTACTAAAAGAAGAAAAATGGACCACACAGACGCTCTCAAGTGGGCTAGACCGAGGTCCCAACGAACAAAAAAAAATAATCACGTTGACTCGAAAACTCGATCAATTCAAATAATTTAACTTAGTTGAGTTATAACTTTTTTTTTTTTTTTTTCACTTTAAGTTGGATTGAATGTTTCGAAAACAAAAAATTCAGACCGATCTCTGGTTGACATTTCTTTAGTTGAGTCAATTAGACCAACTCAAAAATAGGGTTGCAATCCAACTAAACTCTACTCTACTTTTAAAATTATTACGAATATTAAAAATATTTTATCTTTGTGAGTATTGTATGAGATTTTAGTTATTAACGGAAAATTATTGTAGATAAGTATTTTCCTAAAAGTTATTTTTTTACTAAATTATGCTCTGACATTCATATAGAAGTTGTGTTCTTTTGTTCAACAGTATATGAGAGTATCGATCCGACTAAATTTTCGGTCGAGGTTATAACTAAATTAGTTTGATTGTACTCGAGAGTTTAAATTTTCGTCGATATGAATATCTATAAGTTCGACGTCTACCTCAAACGTAAATCGAGGTTTTTTTTTTTTGTTATAATTTATATACCTATTAAGGGTGAGAAATTAAAATTTTCTAAAAAACGGGGAGATATTTAATTATAAATTAAATTTTTTTTTAATATATAATATTGTAATTAATACCCCACGGAAATTTAAGGAAAAAGAAAAAAAAGAAAATCGCAATAGTTTTTTCTGTATCTTCTCTGACGCTGCTTTACTTTCCCAACGACTTGTCGTCGGCCATTGCTCCTTTCTTTATATTGTAAGCAGCAATGAGCTTCACCGCTGCAACTCCAATCCTTACGCCTTCCTATTCCCTCTCCTCCCTCCATTCCAATCGCTTCAAAGCCACAATCCTTTCTCCGATTCCTCTCCGTCGTTCCTTTTCTTCTTCTTTCACCCGCTGCCGCCGCAACTGCTCTCTGATTGCCACTGCCGCGACGACGACGGACGTTGAGATCGATATGGATGTCGATAGACTCAAGGAGGGAATCGCTGAGTTCTATGATGAATCATCGGGGCTTTGGGAGAACGTTTGGGGTGAGCATATGCACCATGGTTTTTACGATCCTGATTCTTCCGTTTCTCTCTCTGATCACCGTGCCGCGCAAATCCGGATGATTGAGGAGACGCTCCGGTTCGCCGGTGTGGAGGCGGCGACGGCGGTGGTGGATGTTGGGTGTGGGATTGGGGGAAGTTCGAGGTATTTGGCGAGGAAGTTTGGGGCGAAATGTAGAGGTATAACTTTGAGCCCTGTTCAAGCCAAACGCGCTCAAGCGATTGCTGCTGATGCTGGATTAAGTGATAAGGTATGGACGTCGTTGAATCCTCTGTTCTTTTTTGTTCTTCTCCATTTATCTTGTTTTGTATTTTCTTCATTGAAGAATTTCCGTTACGCTTTTGTTTTACCGTTTTCTTTGCTTTGATACCAAACTTGAAAATTAGTCACGAATCAAGTAATACAACCAAAATAATGAATACCTGCTGGATTAGTCCTTTTCTTGTTTGGTTGCTGAAATTGTGAAAAGAGTGCCCACACAACCACTACTTCTCAAAATGTTTAGTAATTTTTTTGGGTCCATTTTAAAATCTATTTTGACCTCTAATTTGGATATAATTTAGTAAATGAATGTTAAATTATGAACTCAAGAACAGGCAAGGATGAAATGAATATCGAATTATGAATTCAAGAACATGCGAGGATGAAATGAATATCGAATTATGAATTTAAGAACATGTGATGGTCGAAAATTTTAAAAATGAAAATAGATGTTGTAAAAGTTTGAGAGATGATGGGCTCGGTTATCTATGAAGGAATCTGAAATGTTAGAACAAAGTTGACACACGTTGACAATAATAAGAGGATATTTGGTGAGTGGTAGGTGTGTTTTGAAGTGGCAGATGCTCTGAACCAACCATTCTCAGATGGGGAATTTGATCTGGTATGGTCCATGGAGAGTGGGGAGCACATGCCTGACAAATCCAAGGTTATTTTTCTCCTTTGCTTGACTTTTACTTTGAAGTTCGTGTCTGTTTGTTTGTATGCTTTACCTCTTTCAACCTCTGCAGTTTGTGAGTGAACTGGTTAGAGTTGCAGCCCCAGGAGCCACCATAATTATAGTGACATGGTGCCATAGAGACCTTGGGCCTTCTGAGGACTCCTTGCAGCCATGGGAGCACAAACTCCTTCAGAAGATTTGTGATGGCTTCTATCTCCCTGCTTGGTGCTCCACTGCTGATTACGTCAAGTTAGTCGAGTCCCACGGTCTCCAGGTATCATACTCTTCCTACTTTGAGCATCATCATATCTATTCATTCATTGGTTGACATTCTGAGATCTTACATTAGCTGAAGAGGGGAACAAACCATTATTTATAAGGGTGTGGAAACCTCTCCCTAATAAACCGTGTTTTAAATCCGTGAGACTAACCGCGATACGTAACAGATCAAAGTAGACATTATCTACTAATTGTGGGCTTGACTGTTACAAATCGTATAGAGCTTAATATCGGGCAATATGCCAGCGAGGACGCTGAGCCCCAAAGGGAGGTGAATTATGATATCCCACAATACATAACGGCTCTAGTAGTAGTGGGTTTAACTATTGTAGACATAGTTAATGCCAATAAAAGGACTCAACCGAATAAACTCGATCTTTCATTACACTAAGTATTGATATTCACGTATACGAAGGAATCATCCATAATATCTAAGATGGTGGGTAGAAGTTAAAGAATGGATGAAACCCATGTGGGATTTTGAGGTAAAAACGTGATGTGAAAAGGCATTGTTGTGGTGTTTAACAGGATGTAAGGACGGCAGACTGGTCTAGGAATGTTGCTCCGTTTTGGCCCGCAGTTATTCGGTCAGCATTCACTTGGAATGGCTTCTCATCGCTCTTGCGAAGTGGTAAATTAAATAGTTATCGAGACTAAAAAGTAAATTTTTTTTTTTTTTTTGTTTTACCACGTAAAAAGGTATTCACAATTGTTACTTTGTTGGGTGAAAAACAGGGTGGAAAACAATAAAAGGGGCATTAGTAATGCCATTGATGATTGAAGGATTCAAGAAAGATCTCATCAAATTTGCCATTATTACTTGCCGCAAGCCTGAATGAAGCTTCTTCCTCTACACCTAATACCAATGCAATTCAACTTTTTTTTTTTTTTTTTTTTTTTTTTTTTTTTTTTTTTTTTTTTTTTTTTTTTTTTTTTTTTTTTTTTTNAAAAAATCCATCTTATTAGTTAATTTCTAGTTTTTTTTTTTCTTTCTTTTGGGTTTATTGTAAGTAGGTTCAAATTTCTATATGGTCGGGTTAATAGTGCAAGTTATTTTATGTGTTAAGTCAAATTTTAAATTGTCCTTTTCCTTTCTAATATCGATGGATGGAGACCTTAGACACATGGGGTTTAGTAACCCTCTATTTTCAAGTTGGGTTGTGTAGGGTCGTTTTTTTTTTTTTTTTAACTTATCTACTATATATTTTATCTTAACAACTAAAATCGAATAAAACTCAACTTATCATTGACATCATATACGGATCAGATGTAAATGTTGAATATAGCCTTCTAAAGGATAATCTAAAAAATCACAATAATCATATTTGACCAATTAATTAAGAAAACATATAAGAACAATAATACAATTTTTTTTGCATTAAAAAGTCATTATCAACCATTATTTCTTAAAATAAAGAAACCATTATTGCATATTCCATTATTAAAATTTGTCCATTTTAATTTAATTATTAAATCCTTGAACCTAAAAACTTCATTCTTATCTTATTTTCTTCCTCCTTCAAACATTTAATCAATAAGTTAATTATTATTGAGGATTGTTTTCGACTATAAATTTTAAAAAAAAAAAAGTCTACATCAAAAGTGAAAGAGAATGACATGAGAAGAAAAGTTAAAAGGAATAGAACATCGTAGAGAATTTGAATCGAAGAAGCAAAACTTTGAATAAAAAGAAAAATCTCATCAAAGAAAATGATTGGCATAATAAGAACGAATCATAGAATTTTCAATTTACAACAAGCTAAATACACGTCCAAGATAGAGATTTAGGGGATCATACATTACATAAATGAATACAATTTCAAATTCATTTCCACTTCATGTGAACAGATTGGCATGCCGAGTGAAACTCTCTACCTCTTACCTCTTTTTCAAAGAAATTAACGATACTTAAAAAGACTTTTGTAGTATCCATTATCTCGTTTAACTTTTGTACGAGTTGTTCTCATGAAGTCGAGATGGAGGAAAATCAAATCTCTTTGTTTGATGTCGGTTTGACTAAAACAAGCTCTATGGAAGAAAAAAAGAATGACAAGATAGCCAAGGAAAATTGATATCTTGACAAGAACAACGATGAGAACTGTGATATTGTTGAATCAAGTAACAACTTTCGATATAAAAAATCACAGCAAAGAGAATATCACCACATAGGAAGATCAACTAAAACACTTCATTTTGATAGCGTTACTGTTTGTTTAGCTACTTCACAGCACGATATAAAAACTTTGAATGTGATAGACTTCTCAAAATTCTCTCATTTTTTCCGACGATGCCAATTAAATATCAGCTAAATTTTTAATATGTTATATGATTATTGAGGAAGACGAGTAGTTTTCCCATAGAATTTTGGTTTAATTATGCTGGCTAATTAGCTGGAAGATTATGAGTATATAAATAAGAAACACCATCTTTGTTGGTAGGAGCTATTATGGAGAAACAAAAACAAAATTATAAGAGTTTATGTTCAAGATAGACAATATTATATCATTTTAGACGTTTGTTGTCCTATCAGTTAGATTACATGACCACTTCTCTATCACGAACAGGCTCGATAGGGTTTATTTGGTCTACGAAATATGCTAGCGTTTCATGGTGCTAGCATTCTGCAAGAAGAGCCTTGGAAGGAGTAGCCTTGTTTGCCATATGCTTATTATTTCCCATCATCTTCTTGATTAGATGCCTGCTAGATCAAGAAGGGAGCATTCTTAGTGATCTAGAGCTAACCGTTGCTTCATCTTTGATTAACCTTAGACCTTGCACGTTTGAATTAACTTCAACATATAGATGTACTCGACCTTAGAGTATTTCCTAATTTTACTTACATATGTGTGGTGTATGCTTACGCTCCGTCTTGCGGTGTTGCGTTTGCATCATAAAGTTGTCAATCTAACATGTTTGTGTACTCACAAATTATTCGAAACATCATATAATCTCATATAGCTCGATCTCAATTGCCATCCATGATGAGTCTCGAAAATCATTTGGGGTATTCCTTCATTTTGGTTAACTCCTCTCCTCTGTTGGTCGACGTGACGGTCTACTAGAGCATCTATAAAAGGTTGCTTGTGATAGTCGTTCTTCCCCGAATTATTTTGAGTCATCAACTCTTGTTCTTGTGCATTCTCTTTCATTTTGTTCTTTTATTCTACTGTGAACGGTTCTATTAAACTTTCGATCGTATTCTTTTAGATAGAGCCTCTACTCATGCATCAGGTTTAATCGGTAAGAAAAAGCAAACGAGAATCAATTTTGATCGAAAGAGAATATGACGATCGAATTTCATTACAATATAAACTTTTTAGAGATAAACCCCTTTTAGCTCCATGCTACTAGAACTAGAAAATTTGAAACAAACTGAAATTTATCAGTACGGTCCTTGCTTATCCATTAACCTCTCCTGATGTCTCATAACGAACAGCAAATTTCGTGGTAAGTTTCTTCGAAAACTTCTAATGGAGTTCCTCAAGACTTCATTCCTTGGTCCAATCCTCCTCCCTCCCCCTTCCAATCGCAGCAGCCGCTGCCCGTTTAAGTCCAGAAAACCCCAAATTTTCATCATCCGCTCGTCGGTAACGCCCGATCCTTGGTCTCTCAGCGATGGCAACCCTGCAAGACCAAAACCCAGGTCCAAAAACGCCAAAAAGCCGCTTTCCGACGACAACGCCCGTCGAATCATCAAGGCCAAGGCTCAGTACCTCAGTGTACTGCGTCGAAATCAGGGCCCGAGAGCTCAAACGCCCAAATGGATCAAGAGAACTCCGGAACAGATGGTGCAGTACCTTGAGGACGATAAAAATGGCCACCTCTATGGAAAGCATGTGGTGGCGGCGATTAAGCACGTGCGGAGTTTATCTCAGAAAGCCGAAGGAGAGTACGATATGAGAATGGAGATGGCTTCTTTTGTTGGAAAATTGACCTTTAGGGAGATGTGTATAGTGCTTAAAGAGCAGAAGGGGTGGAGGCAGGTCAGAGATGTGCTTGATTGGATGAAATTGCAGGTGGGTTTTGAGGAATTATGTCCTTTTGATTGTGTTTTGTTTAGAATGTTGCTGTTTACATTGAATTTGCTCAGCTAGCTGAAGAGTAAATAAACTTGATTATATCTTACCAATGCCATGTTTGATCCATGATGATATACAAACTGTTCTTCAGGTGACTTGAACTAATACCCTTTTGATGGATGTTTGATTAAAATCAATGTCTGTTGGGTCCCTTGTAGTTTCCTGTTAGAATGTTGTTACCACATAATAGTTTGAAATGAAGCATTCAATTGAATACGTCATAATCGTAGGCTTCTGTTTGGACAGTTGAGTTATCGCCCAAGCGTCATTGTCTACACGATTGTTTTGCGAACATATGGGCAAGTTGGAAAAATAAAGCTAGCTGAAGAAACTTTCTTGGAGATGCTTGAAGTTGGATTAGAACCAGATGAAGTTGCTTGTGGAACGATGTTATGTACATACGCCCGATGGGGACATCATAAGGCTATGTTGTCTTTCTATTCTGCTGTCAAGGACAGGGGAATTATACCTTCGAGTGCCGTTTTCAATTTTATGCTGTCGTCCTTGCAGAAGAAGGGGCTCCATGCCGAGGTAAAAGAACTATGGATGCAGATGGTAGAGATAGGAGTGACATTCAATGAATTTACCTATACTGTAGTTATCACCTCACTTGTTAAGGAAGGACATAGTGAGGAGGCTTTCAAAGTTTTCGACGAGATGAAGAACCGTGGGTTCGTTCCTGAAGAGGGGACGTATAACCTACTTATTAATTTAAGCGCAAAAAGAGGGAATTCGGGTGAAGTTTTGAGGCTTTACAAGGATATGAGAGATAAGGATATTGTTCCAAGTAGCTACACTTGTTCTTCACTTCTGACATTGTTTTACAAGAATGGAGATTATTCTAAAGCCCTCTCTCTGTTTTCCGAGATGGAAACGAAACAAGTGGTGGTTGATGAAGTTATATATGGATTACTTATTAGAATATATGGAAAATTGGGTCTACATGAGGATGCCCATAAGACATTTGAAGAAATGGAGCAACTTGGTTTACTTACAGATGAGAAAAGCTATTTGGCAATGGCTCAAGTCCATCTCGGTTCGAGAAACTTCGAGAAAGCTTTAAACGTAATCGAGTTGATGAAATCTAGAAACATTTGGTTTTCAAGATTTGCTTATATAGTATCATTAAAGTGTTATGTTATGAAAGAAGATATAAGCTCTGCAGAATCCACATTTCAAGCTCTATCCAAAACCGGGCTTCCTGATGCTCGTTCGTGTATTGATATTCTCAATTTGTATTTAAAATTAGACTTGGTGGACGAGGCAAAAGATTTTATAGCCCAAATAAGAAAGGATGGGGTAGTTTTCGACGAGGAACTTTATAAATTGGTTATGAGAGTCTATTGCAAGGAGGGGATGTTAAAAGAAGCTGAAATTTTAGTTGAACTTATGAAGAAGGATGAGTATTTTGTTGATATGAAATTTATGGAGACATTTTCATTTATGATAAATGAAAATACAATTGGCAGCTATGACCAACCAGATTATATGGCTCTTCATATGATACTTCGGCTGTATTTGGCGAACAGCGATGTTGGTAAAAGGAATAGGATCCTGAAATTAATACTTAGGGATGGTGGCGTGAGCGTTGTGAGTCAACTTGTAGCTAATTTGATTAGAGAAGGCAAGAAAATTATTTGTCTTTTGAGTTATGATAATATTGATTTTATGGATTTATTTATCTATGCTTTCGGTTTAAGGCAAACTCGATTAATTTCTTTGCTCTACAGGTGATGCATTGAAAGCAGGAGCTCTTATGAAAGAATTACTCGAGCTTGGCTACCAGCTAGATGACG